AAAACTGGAGGACCCGGAGAAAAAAAATCCACGCGACCACAGGGAGAGAGACACGCAAACGCCAAATATACGACAGCAGGCATCAAGGGTTGGGATCGAACCCTCGACCTCCTGCACACCAGGCGAGGTAGTTAACATCTCCTAGCTACCGTGATGATGATGAGAGACGCAAACTCCAAATATACAGCAGAAGGCGTCAAGGGTTGGGATCGAACCCACGACCTCCTGTAAACCTGGCGAGGTAGTTAACGTCTCAGCACCGTGGCGCTCAGTGACCCCGCCCTCCCCATTGTCACCTAAGTGTCACGTGACAGCTGCGTCCGCCTCCGTGGCAGTCATCACCCACAGCGAACCAATCGGGGCCCGGGTGGCGATGGTTGCCCGCTGATTGGTCACTCCGTACCCATGGGCTGGGTAGGGTGGCGGAGGGCATTCGTTGGGCTGTGGGATTTTAATGCTACATCTAATAGAGGCGTATGCCTACGTAGTTTTTTTTTAATTTTCAACGAAAAAAATATTTCTAGAAACGAAACTACTACAAAAAAAGATATAACTAAAAAAACTCTAAATGGGCTTTTTCATGTCTTCGATTTATAAAAAACGCACACTGCCATTCTTGATCACAGTTAACCAGTGGACTCGCAACTTGTTTCTTTAAAAAAAAACTGTAATACAGCGTGTGTAGTACTGGGTGGTTACGCGTGAACTCTGCTCTGGTTGGCTGGCCGACTCTCGCCGCCTTGTGTGTGTGTTAAACTTCTTTTGCACCGTGCGTAGCCAGCCGTGCTCAACGGGGGGGTGCGGAGGAAGGACAACAAACTAAACACAAAAAGCAGTTCTCACGAAATATGTGGCTGGGTGACTGCAAACTCCAACATTTTTGCCTTCCAAATCCTCGTCCCATTATTTTTCTCCCACCATTGTAATGATCCACGGTAGTTGGGTTGTCCGCCACACACATATATATGGGATCGACTGCCACCTCCGAACACCTGGGTTACAAACCGTCTGCACATTTTCAGTGCTCGGTGTGTCTCCTGCTTCAAGCTGCTGCCGTGTGTCTTTGGCTTGCAGCCTGCAAAATATTTTGTGTTCGAGAATGAGGCTCGTGGTAGCGAGCCTAAGCTCACTTCGCCACTGAGCGAATTTATGGGTTGATCAGTTTGATTCCTGAATCATTATTTTAAAACCCTTGCTGCATCATTGAAGAGACCAAGCCATTGTGTTGTGGTATATCGGTTTAAATGCCAATGTTTAAACGAATTACAAAAGGAATGTGGCATGTGCGACTTTGGTTGAGCGTGGAACGGCAGACTTCAGGGCTGCTGACCGTATTGACATTCTTTGACTCGTATTTACGTGACCCTACTTTACCCAGATCAACATTGAAAACAGATTTCACTCGCTGAAATAATGGATTGTTAATCCTTTGATATGACTGATTGCATTCTGTTAACTCTCGGACCGCTTTTTCAAGTTAATCTTGAACACATTCCTGCAGAGGGAGCTGGTAGGAACGTTGGGTTGCTCGGTCAATGGCCAGGGTCAACGGCACCACGTGGTGTATTCCGCAAATATGCCCGACTGTGAGGGCAGGCACAAGCCGGCGTGAGTGAGCAGGTTAAACGTTGAGTTTTATAAGGGAACCACGGGGTGACCAGCCCCTCCCCACCCAGCCCCACCCCACCCAGCCCCACCCTCCCCACCCTCCCCACCCAGCCCCTCCCTACCCTCCCCTCTCCACCAAGCCCCACCCCTCCCACGTGGACAGACATCCACAGACATACACAATTAATCCCCTGCCTCCTGTGAATTAATCCCGGTTGGGCTTCCAGTCCACTACGTTTCCTACCAGTAATATCGTTAACTTTATTCGGAACAATCCCAATTCGACGGCCTCCTCTGTTACCCGGTGTCGAACGCACTGCTGCCATTCATCTGTGCAGCTTTGTCTGCAAAGTTACTTTCTGGACAAGCAAGAGAGAGAGCCGTCCTTGCTGCCTCAAAACAAAAAGAAAAAACCCGATTTTGCAGTCGCGTGTTGCGAGATCTTTCCGAGATATCGGCGTAAATCATTTTCCTCCCAAGTTGCAGAGGCCATCGGCGTGCACTGTGGACTGTAGCTCGCTCGCGTTTCACGAACATATCCCGACTCGGGTTCGTTGCCGCCGTGCTTGGTTTGCCGTTCGCTGGAGCTACAAAGTCGCCGCGAGGAACCGAGAGACTTCTCGTTCGGGTAGCCGGGCGCGCCGACGCACCCCGCGTAGCCCCGACTCGCACTCGCCACCGCTGTGCATCGGCTCCATCGCCACGCGTGGTAAAATGGAGCGGAGTTTAGAAGAAAATAAATTAAGAGGGGGAAAAAAAAATCCTTGAATTGTGTTACATGTGACATGGTTTACCGGGTCTCCTTGTTAAGCTTAGCTGACGGCACTAATAGGAACCTTCCCTGTAATAAAGGTCTTTGATGAACAAGTCGTTTGCCGGCGGACTCTGCTCGAGGTGTTGATCGCGTTGTGGAAGAGAGAGAAGCTGACGAACCGATTTGGGGAGGAGACGTGGACAAGGAGTTCATCACGGTCGTGTCCGTGAGCACGATTCCGCTTCTTAGCGATCGTGCGTTTAGATGACCGAGTCGGGGGAGTCGTCCGTTGTCTCCGCTCGAGCGAGCAATGCAATGTTTCTGTTGGCATCCCCCGAGCCACTGATGGAAATTTCACATTCCCCAAACTGCAGAGGCAGTCTCTCCGTTGGGAAGACAACTGTCGACTTCGCGCAAAGTGGTGCCGACTTTATCAACCCTGTAAATATCATGGGCTGATTCGGTACCCGAGCAAACCCATGAACTCGCAATATTATGTTCGTCTCGCACTATAACCGCAGTGCCACTCAAGCCAGGTGCTTGCAGGCAATACCATAAAAATAAACTTGACAATCACGCACGATCACCTTTCCCGTGGCTCGCCGTAAACCCTCTATCCCGCCCAGCTGTTGTCATTTCCATTTTCCGGATGCGTGACCTTCCCCTGGGTTGGGATATTGAATCTCCGCTGCCTCTCACCTGGCTCTAAATATAAAACGTGCCGATTGATTTTCCTCCGTGCTGCCCGTTGTGCGCTCTGGATTGGTATCAAGGCCGTCCTCTTTGTCCCAAATGCCACGTTTTCATGTCTCCGATGCACAACACGCGAGGGGTATTTTTGTCCGTGGCTCAGATTGTGGTTCGAGGGTCACACGAGGCCCACGGAGGCCCTTCCGTGTGGCCCGCATCAATGTGCAACCGGCCAGAAGAATCCCAGCCGTGACTCGCGAATTGAAGGCGGTTGCGAGTTCACGCGCCAGTCGTAATACCACTCAGCCTACATTCCTTCTTGCAGTGCTCTTCACTGGTTTTCAGAGTGGGGGGTGGGGGGGCATTTGAGACATCTTCCATGTCGTGTAGTCAGGGGACACACTAAAGGCCACCAGGTGCCGCCAGTGGCCCGCGGGCCTTGCAATGGAGACCACTGCTTTATAGGGTATTTTTTCTAAATCGGACTGGATTCCACTATAGGAATGTGGAATTCGTGCAGCGGCTCTGCAGGGCCCCCGACCCTGTAGCCCCGCCCACTGTCGCGTAGCCCCGCCCACTGTCGCATAGCCCCGCCCCTGACATGTAACCCCCACCCCCTATCGTGTAGCCCCACCCCGGTGATGTGGCCCCCCCTGCCCTGGGGGGGGGGGGTAGGCGGACCCCTGGGGGGGGGGTGGGGGGTAGGCGGACCCCTGGGGGGGGGGGGGTGGGGGGTAGGCGGACCCCTGGGGGGGGGGGGTGGGGGGTAGGCGGACCCCTGGGGGGGGGGGTGGGGGGTAGGCGGACCCCTGGGGGGGGGGGTGGGGGGTAGGCGGACCCCTGCGGGGGGGGGGTGGGGGGTAGGCGGACCCCTGGGGGGGGGGGGTGGGGGGTAGGCGGACCCCTGAGGGGGGGGGGTGGGGGGTAGGCGGACCCCTGGGGGGGGGGGTGGGGGGTAGGCGGACCCCTGGGGGGGGGGGTGGGGGGTAGGCGGACCCCTGGGGGGGGGGGGTGGGGGGTAGGCGGACCCCTGGGGGGGGGGGGTGGGGGTAGGCGGACCCCTGGGGGGGGGGGGGTGGGGGGTAGGCGGACCCCTGGGGGGGGGGGTGGGGGGTAGGCGGACCCTGGGGGGGGTGGGGGGTAGGCGGACCCCTGGGGGGGGGTGGGGGGTAGGCGGACCCCTGGGGGGGGGGTGGGGGGTAGGCGGACCCCTGGGGGGGGGTGGGGGGTAGGCGGACCTCTGGGGGGGGGTGGGGGGTAGGCGGACCCCTGCGGGGGGGGGGGTGGGGGGTAGGCGGACCCCTGGGGGGGGGGTGGGGGTAGGCGGACCCCCTGGGGGGGGGGGTGGGGGGTAGGCGGACCCCTGGGGGGGGGGTGGGGGGTTAGGCGGACCCCTGGGGGGGGGGGGGTGGGGGGTAGGCGGACCCCTGGGGGGGGGTGGGGGGTAGGCGGACCTCTGGGGGGGGGGGGTGGGGGGTAGGCGGACCCCTGGGGGGGGGGTGGGGGGTAGGCGGACCCCCGGGGGTACGTGGACCCCCGGGGGTACGTGGACCCCGGGGGGTACGTGGACCCCCGGGGGTACGTGGACCCCCGGGGGTACGTGGACCCCCGGGGGTACGTGGACCCCCGGGGGTACGTGGACCCCCGGGGGTACGTGGACCCCGGGGGGTACGTGGACCCCCGGGGGTACGTGGACCCCCGGGGGTACGTGGACCCCCGGGGGTACGTGGACCCCCGGGGGTACGTGGACCCCGGGGGTCCACGTACCCCCGGGGGTCCGCCTACCCCCCACCCCCCCCCCAGGGGTCCGCCTACCCCCCACCCCCCCCCCCCGGGGGTACGTGGACCCCCGGGGGTACGTGGACCCCCGGGGGTACGTGGCACTGTCCCAGGGGCGGGGTACGCCAGTTGATTTAGAAATGTGGGAAATTATACCATACGTGGAAGCCACTGGTCAACAGTCGTGTTGTATGAATCTGTCAATATAAAATGACGATACATTTTGAATCCATATGGTAACCTAGAACGACATAAGAGACCTTCCTAAACTCACTGATCGTAAACAATGTTGGTGGTTTCCGAGAGTCACCAGCGAGCAAGAACAAATTACCTCACGCTTGCAGTGCACCCGTTGAGGATACCTCACAAAGTGGACAAATGGTCAAAACATCGACGTTCATTATTCACATGAACAGTTGTTTCTTGACTTAAAGCTTTTGTGACTGCAGGAATTCACACTCTTTGGGCCTTTCGGTAAAGTCACGTAGATAGAAAAATAATCAAATAATAAAAACCCTTTATAACCGAGAGCTGCAGGAGCTCTCTCGCGATATTTCTTCCTGCCTCAGCAGTCCGCCTGCTGTATTGTTTCACCTGAAGACGATTGCTTGTGTTGCGATCGAAACGTCGTGATTTTTGTTTTTCTTCTATCACGTGACTTTATTTTTTACCTACGTGACTTTACCGAATAGAACCAAGGAGTATGGATCCTTGCAGTCACGAAAGCTTCAAATGTAGAATTTACCGGAAGACCCAAAGAGTATGAAGAGTTATTTCTCAGAAACGTGTTGGGGTCAGCCAAAGGGGTTGAAACAAAATTTCAAAAGTAGGGATTTTATTCGTCGCCAAACGACGGTTGAGAAACCATTGCACAAGGGATGTTTGTGTTTTAGTTCTTCCACACTGGCCAAACGTCTTGCAAGCGGTGAGCGTAAACCCCCACGCCGCTTTGCCTCGCCACACTCGACCTGCCGAACACACGTTGGGACTCGAATTGTGGTTGTTACACATTTATGCTGCTGGGTGGACGAGAGGTGTGGATGTGGGGGCGGGGAAAGGGTTTAAAGGGTAACCTGTTCATTGCTTCAACTGCCTCGCCGAGAGATCGGACAGCGACCTCCGGATTGCACGTCAGGCTGATGAACAAATAGACGGCACCATGGATAACAGAGGAACTGGGAGATATAAAAATAAGTGAGATGGGAAACCAGACAGACCAGACCGGAAAGACATACTGGTAGATGGGATACCAGACAGGGCACGAGACGCGACTGCTGGGCGAGCGTGCAGAACCCCGCGGTTGATGAGGGGGAGCAAGGCGTTCGCGGGCGTCACGTGCCGACGAGGTGCACGCACGCCTCGCGGAAGCCACACATGTGGCACAGCCGCACCGCCGCCTGACTCCCCGTTCCCGTCAGGGCCCGGCCGCACAGGAAGCAGTCCTCGCGATTCGGCAGTCTGTGCACAGGGTACAGGCGTTTGGCCAGGTGAGAATTCGAGGATCGAATAAACCACCATCACGCGAACTCCGGGCATCCGAGGAGAGGCGGCGGCTTTTGGCTGCTCGCCGTCGAACGAAGACGGCGGTCACCGCGTCGCGCGGCGCGTTCAGATGCGCCGCTGCGGCCGTCTGGAACGCTCTTCCTTTCGATATTAGGAAGCCACTATGCACTTTTAAATCATCTAGATTTAAAACGAATTTCTTGAACTGATTTTTGTGTCCAGTTTGTTGTCCTTCCCCCGCACCTCCAATTAGCATGGTTGGCTATGTACGGTGCGAAAGCAGTTTAACCCACGTACATATAGAGACATACAAATATCCATCTTTTCGTCTTAACAAGCTGTAGGGGAAGTGGTGCTGTTAGCGAGCACCTAATGAAGGCCAGAACGGCACACGAGGGGTAAGGTGGCCAGCACCACGCCCGGATGCCACCTTTGCATATCTGTCCCGCACCTCCGATTAGTACTCTTGGCAAGGCATCCCAGATCCTAGGAGTGGCACTCGAGAAGGCCTGGCAACCTAGCGTCAGGTGCAAGAATCGTGGCTGGGAGAGTAGGCCCTGCCCTGAGGTCGCATGAGGGACAAACCAGGCCCGCGAGTATGTCGATGCAAGACCATGCACGGCTTTATATTAGAGGTGGTATTTCACCGCTGGAGCCCAGAGCCATGTGGGACGAGCACCTCCCACTAATCCCACACCTCTCGTGCCTCGTTAGTCCATCGGTCAATGGGCTTTCCAGATATGTTGGTTAAAAAGATAAAGGTGCAACCCTGCAATTACTCGCTACTGCTGGCAAAATGACTTCCACTAGAAGCTCTAGAGAACCCCTCAAGCGAGAGGTTTTGGAGCCCAACTACTCGACAGCGGCCAAGACTCTTCGAAGAGTTGCGAGTGCCCACACTTTACCCCACCACACGTGACCTGTCGATGGACTAGCTGTGGTGCACCCATTTCTACTGCTGGGTGGGGCGGAGGCCGGAGGATTTAATAAGAAACTTGGCCCCGTTATTTAAACCTGGCGCACCGGGAGGCTGAGAGTGTGTGTGTGTGTGTGTTCGAGGACAGAAGTGCTCACCGCTGGTGAATGTGACACAGGTAGGCCGCCTTGGAGGCGGTGTGCGCAGCGGTCCCACAGATTGCACAGCTGTCCTTATTTAAGAACATCTGCAAAGAGACGGTGCGCATCAACTGGTGCTAGCCAATGGAACAATTGCAAGTAAACTTGCATCACTGTAAGCAACCGATTCAACTCTCTTCTTTCAACGCACGTATTGGGATTTCTTTTCAATCCCAAAGCCTTTTTAGTTTGCCGTCCTTCCCCCGCACCGTCAATTACCACGGTTGGCTACGTGCGGTGCGAAAGAAGTTAAACGCACGTACGGTACATACAGCTCAGAATTGGACTGGTGACTACGCTCCACGTGGTCTGTAGTCGAGCACTTTGGAAGCAGGGGTTTGTGGATCACAAGAAATGTCGTGAAACCTCCTACCCGCCGATGTCGCGATCTCCTGGCTCAACAGGGTATGATGGCAGTATAACAAGCGGGTTCACTGCCATTTCCACCTGCATGGGGATCGAGTGCTACCACCCTGGCATGCGTGGGCTTTCTTCAGGTACCCTGGCTTCCACTCAAATGTATAAACACTCGTGGTTAATGGAGTGCTGAGACGTGCCAATTACAGGTCCACAGAGCTTGGGAAATAGTCGACGGCGATTCTGGCTGCCTTCCCGCTTGTCTGGGGTTACCTGCGCCCCCCTGTGCAAAATCTGTGCGCAAGTTTCAATTTGCATTAATGTTGCTAGAAATATCTATACAAGTATTTAAAGTGTAAATAATCTATTTGAGTCAATGGATTGTAACATTTTTAAGTGTCATGAACGACCATCCTACTTTGTATAAACCATAATGTACTCAGACCTACGCACTGCTGACAGTGAGTGAACAGGCGTGCGTGCGTGCGTGTGTGCGTGTATTGGGAAGGGCCGGTGGAGTGGTTAGCGCTCTGCTCTGCTACAAAGCTGGCTACGCGAGTTCCATTCCCGCTCACGGCCAACATCAGCGACGATTGCCTAAACCATTCTTGGGCCTCTCCTAGGTCGACTCAGCCTCAAAAGAGCACCTGGTGTAAATATCACCACCATGGAGATAAAGACAGCCGAGTGTAGTGCTGGCCACCCACCCCTTCGTGTGCCGTGTCGGCCTACATCGGTGCTCCGGTATGTTTTTGTGCGTGCGCGCATTTTGTAAGTGTGTGTGTGCAGCGCCGCACCTGTCCAAAGGCTCGCACGCTGAAGGCGCAGGTCTGGCACATGATGGCAGCCTTCCGTGAGAATCCGTTGCAGACGGTCATCTTGCAGCGCAGATCCTGCTCGACGACACGGACGACAGTGAGCAGAACGCGCCCGTCGCGCCCCCGCACGGGCGCACGCGCGGAGTGAGCGCCGAGTGAGAATTTATGCTTGGCCAATCCGATTATTGAGTAAGTGATTTTCATGTTATCAAACATGTACTCACTTTTCTTCTGAGTGTGAATTATGTCATTAAACTGGTAAGTTCTCTAATCCGTGTGTTCCTCTTTCTGTCTCTCAATGTTATTGCAAGTTCGCGTCTCTCCACGCTGCTTTGCGCAATTATCACTTTCTTCATTGTTGCTTGTTAATGACCACATTTTATGAACTGTATTTATCAGCAACATGAAATGTGGATAATAACGCTGCAGAAGGTAAATATGCAGCCCTGTGATAGCTTGCTCTGACACTACTGCTGGCAAAATTAAATCCACTCGAGCACGCTCTGGAGAGTTGCTCTCCTAGGGGGTACTTGGTCTACTCTTTCACACTGGCCAGACGTCTTGAAAGAGGTGGAAGTGCTCACACTTTACCCCACCACACGTCGATCGGCAGGGATTGAACCACCAGAACAGCATCACGTATTGTAGTCATGACATGTGTGGACCACTTGTTATTAATTTGGTTTTTGTTTTTTTACATTTTTTTGTTCGTAAATATTGGCGTGGAGAAGCCTCGCCGAGTCTTCAAGAGACTGTTCCAGACGGCCACGCTTGGGACGTATGCCACGTCTGGAGGAGGTTTTAAGTGTGTGCGCGAGGGAAGAGGAGGACCTGATGAGACCCAGTCATACAAAAGCAGAACATTCTAACTGTACATATAGGGTCTGAAACATACTTGTTGAACCGGGTAAAAGTGCAGCCTTGCAATTTCTTTCTACCGTAAAATAGAACAATCTGAACGGCTATACAGGAAAATTCAAGGCGTGTTGTTCGTAAAAAAATGGAAGGAACCAGAAAGAAAGGAAGACCTAACAGAGAATGGCTTGATAACAACATAAGAAGAGATTGGTGCCAGACAGACGTGGCACTACTTGAGCATATTGGCATGAGACAAAGGAAAGTGGAAACAAATGACAAAATATGCAGTGGACACTTCCGGGCTATCTTGCCCATGGATCGTGAAGACGATGATGATACAAGCACAGATGGTGGGATGGCGGCGGGGTGGTTGGGCACGATTGGTCGGACCTTCAGGAACTGCTGACGAGCGATGAAGTTGACGCGCACTCCGCGGGGGTCCCTTCGCAGGAACGCAACGAGCCGCGCGTCCAGCCCGGCCTCCCGCAGCAGCCGCGGCAGCACGGTCGCCACGGCGGCCCAGCGGCCCTCGTCGCCGCGGCAACAGCCCTCAAAGTGGTCAGCCAGGGCGATCAGGCAGCCGTGGCGGCCGCCCTCGTGCGAGAGCAGGCAGGACTGCACCGCCTGCGACAGACACGGTGTCACACGAGCGCCGCCTCGGGGTCAAACGCAAGGAGCGTTTGACCCCGAGGCAGCAAGGGTTCCGAACCTGCGGGCTACGGGCATGGACACCGTGCAGGAGAGGTTTAGAACGCGCGGAAATGTCGGCGGCACGCTGCCGAAGAGAAAACATGAGCTTCTGCATTCTCCAGGTCGTAAGGTGCTCCGGAAAGGAAAAAGCGCACCCTGAAGTTGAGTTTTAAAATACAGCGGGGGAAAAAGTGCTTCTTTTAATGCGGAGGAGGCAGTAGCTGGGGTAGGGTATGGAGACCGGTGGTTTAGATTGGGGGACCGCCATACGGTGGCGAGATGTTAACTACCTTGCTTGGTATACAGGAGGTCGTGGGTTCGATCCCGGCCCTGACGCCTGTACATTTGGAGCTTGCGTGTTTCTATTTTCGTGGTGGCGTGGATTTTTCTCCGGGTCCTCCGGTTTTTCCCTCCACATATATAATTGTACGTGCGTGCAGACTATTTTATGGCTGCTATAAATGTCCACATGATAAGCCACTGGCGTTGAGGTATCACTTGTGATAGCCAGGTCGCTTCTGAAAAAGAGCTACATAACTCAGTGGGCCGTAACTGGTGAAATAAAATTTAAAAAATAGTTTTGAAAAAAAATGTGTTTCAAGAGGTTGAGAATCCGTGCCGTTGGACTAAGCGAGGGAGTTGCTGTCGTCACCTTCCCCACAGCGTTGTGGCAGAATCCGACCGTCTCCAGACCCCCGTCGTCGAGGCTCCCCCTCAGCAGACCCCGCGCCCCACGTCTCGTCTGGGCCCACTGCATCATGGGAAGGCTGCCTCCCTCCGTACAGCCACCCAGGATGCACCGCAGGTCCACCTCTGCTAGGGCGTGAGGGGCACACTCGAGCAAGCACAGCATCTACGCACGGGCAAAAGGAAAGTTGAATCGTGATTAACGTGAAACTTGAGCTGGGACGTGTTGATTAAGTCAATTGATTAATGGGCTCACAATTGCCATTGACTACGTTTATTGTTGTCAATTACTCCGGCCCTTTTAAAAATGGTGGTCGCCCTGATAATGCTGTCTCCTGAAGGTGATAACAACTAAAACTAAACTTTATTATTTACCAGGCAAGGCCCACTGAGCTATGTAGCTCTTTTTCAGAAGCGACCTGGCCACATGATAAAGAAGTGGCTTACCATGTGCACATCAATAGCAGTCAAATACTCTAAACGCGTATTGATTCAAAATGTAGAGGGAAAAACCGGAGGTCCCGGAGATAAATCCAAATATACAGCAGCAGGCGGCAGGGTCGGGATCTAACCCACGACTTCCTGCATACAAGGCGAAGTCGTTAACATCTTGCCACTGTGGCGCCCCCAAGAAGCCCAGCCCGGCGTTACGTGGCTGGAACAATTCCTTGGTAGGTGTTTTGTGTGCGGGAGGCGAGCGGTGTTATCCGAAGTAAAACCCCACGCGTGTGAGGGGGATAACACTCAAAATCCACACGGGCAAAGGTCGTGGACCTAGTTTCTGTACTGCCATCTCCTGGCCATCTCGCAATTGAGCAGCCTGGGGGTGTCGGTGCACACGATCCACCAACCCCGCCTACGCAGCACCGCCCACAGCCAGCTTACATTCTTAGCTCATGATTAAAATTAATATTCGGTTTTTCTCTACTTTGGATTGCAAAGATCATAGTACAATTTCATTGAGTGTCTTTTTTACTATTATGATTAATAGTTTGACATCACGCTGACTTTATTGATATACGTGACTTGATTTGAAAATGATCAGGTCTGTGGAGGGAGCTTCAGAATCCCACCGGTTATGGCGAATGCATCACTTTCCACTGCCAGCCGTGTGAGACTTCTCGCAGATCCAAGCCTTGGTCATGGACTTTGGAAGGGAGCTTCTACCAAGGCACATCAGAACTGTGCCCTTGGTTAAACGAAATTATTTTTGTATTCATATCTGCCTCGGCAGTGATGCGTATGCACAAATAAATAAAAATCTAACGCAACAAATTCATAAATAACACTTCCCAAAAGAATATACATACACACAATGGCCCTTCTCCATGGCAGGGTGTTATTGATGGAAGGGTTGAGTTAACGTTAGTTTAACACGTAGCCTTTCGCGACCAATGTTATCAATAATGTGGTTTTTTTGGCCATCCATTCTGCCTATCGCCAGATGAAGCTGATTGTAATCAACAGCGGAACGTTGTATTCGAATTGTAAATGTTGTGGGTTTACTCTCCAACTCACTGGGTGTGCTAAAGTAGTCACTATTTGGCACCTTTTGTTTCGGTGACAAACCTTTCTAATTGGCCGTGTTGTCGGGTGGTGACGGCTTTAAGGGCACAACATTTATATTTATCCCATCTAACCCAACAAAAAAAACCCTTTATTATAAGTTGACGTCGTTTGTGCCCAAGGTGGACCGGTTTCAAGTGCAGATGGCCACGTTTCGAGCAGGATTGTGCATCGGTGCTCGAAGCGATGGCACGCAAACAGCCGCGTGTCACGCTTTGCCAAACTGGCAGAGCGAGCCGCGGTGCTTACGCGAGTTACCGCTGTCACTGCACTGTGCCCCCCCCCCCACCCGTATCTGAAGCCCACCTTTTTTTTTAAACGCGATCCAAATAAAATTGTTCAATTGCAATAATTTTTATCAAAATATATAATTATATAAAATAAAAAATAAACCACAGCCGTGACGTGGGATTGCGCCTTAAAACAGTCTTATTAGGTCCACGTATTCTTAAAACCTCGTTTCACATCATACATGGGGGCCCGAGGGATGCACTGTGTATTTCTTTCATCTAAAATGACGAGGGAGCTGTGTAGGTTGGAACTTGATGAGGTTTTTTTTTTATTTGGATAGCGATCAGCGCAATACAAAACTGACCAGTACGAAACTAACCTCCGATTAGCACGGTTGGCTACGTATGGTGCAAAAGAAGTTCAACACACATACAAGGGCATCACAGTAAATTTCCCTCAGCGGGTTCTTGGCCCCATAAATGTTTAATGGATTTGAAGACTCCGCCGCGGAATGGATTCCTTCCCGACCTTGCCGAGCAGCCCGCTGAGGTCCTCCACCGTGACCCGCCCCAGGATTTGGGCGAGGAGGGTGGGCAGGTCGGCGGGGAGCGATGCCACGTGGTGCGAGAGTCCCTCGAAGGAGCCGAACACTCGCAGCTCCTCGCACGCCAGGGCCAGCCACAGCGGCAGACGAGCTCCAGGGTTGGCCGTGAGAGAGCTCATCTGGGCCAGGTCCAGCCTCTGCGTGCCAAGAGGTGGGGGGGGTGGTTGTGTGTGCGCGCACTGTTATGTTGAACTTCGTTGGCACCACCGTACGTAGCCAACCGCGCTAATCGGAGGCGCGGGGGAGACAACAAACTAAACACAAAAATCACTTATAAAGAAATTTGTTTTCAATCAAGATGATTTAAAAGTGCATAATACTTACCGTATCCTCTGGAGTACCACGCACCTTTCTCCCAACCCCCCCCCCCCCCTCTTTATTTTAAAGGGAAAGTTGAGGGTGCGTCTTAGAATCCGGTAGCCGTGTGTGTGTGAGAGGCCAGATTTATAATGGAGTACAAGTTTGGTGTGCGTATTACTTTCCAGAGCGTCTTAAAATCCACAGAATGCAGTAGCGTCAAAGCCTAGCATTAGCTCAACGCTATCCTCTGTTAAATTGCATTTTCAGTTTTAGCTCTTTGCCGTGGTGCTAAAGTGGTAATTGCAGGCTTGCACCTTCGCCTTTTACAACCCTTTGCAGCTTTTGGATGGAGCTTTTATTGACCATACTTCACCACACTGGTCAGTGCAGGTTGGTGAGGGGTGCTGTGGCGAGGGGCCGGGGGTGGGGACAGAACAGTTCATATAATGCGAAGACAGCAACTTGGTACCAAGTCCGTCGAGTACACGTGGTAAAGGATCCTGAGCAGTGAAAGGGCATTCGATCCACACCTTGTTGAACCTCTGCAGAAAGGCGGTCGCGACATCCCGGGCCGCGTCCTCCGCCAGGGGGCCCAGCTCCACGAGCGGGCCGCTCCACGAAGGGGCTCCCCGCTGCCAGCCGTGCCCCACGGCGGAGCTCAGCACCCAGGTAGATCTCCCGTGGGGCCCTCCGGTTTCCGCAGCCCGGAGGAGGGCACTGACGAGGTGGCTGGCCGACGCGTGACTTGAGAACTGATAGGAAGCAACAAATGATCAAATAAAGTACAGTTGTCCCTCGGTGAACAGTGATATAGGTTCATTGTTTTTCGATTAATGTTTCGTCTCCCATAGGACCCCCCCATGGTTTCGACGAACGTTAAAATGTTGACTAATTTTGGCCAATCCGAGCGCTCCTAAGCGGACTGAGCCATGCCCTCAGCCAATCAGGGATGCCCATTTATGAGCGTTGAGAGCTCGACTGGCTTTGCTTACATGACGTCTGTTCTGGCAGTGGAAACAGCTCTCTCTTGCAGACTCAGTGATTTTTTTTATTATCATTTTTAAACTCACAAGTGAATTCTATTAACAGTTATTTCAGTTCACGGTACTTTTCGTGGAACGGATTAAAAATGTTAACCGAGGGACTACTGTATACCGTACTCTTAAGACTGCAAGGCACAACTTTTTTTCCCCCATGAATGTTAAAGCCAAAGTATGCGCTGCCCCTTATCAACCAATGGATACAGCAACAGTGTTACAAAAGGCATGTTTCAATTGAGTTGTTCAAAATCATCTTCCGGAAGATGGTACCGCCCGTAGCCAAACTGTTACACAACCGCCCAGGGGACAGAAGGCACTGCCATCTGTTCAGAATAACATTCCAGAAGTTACCTCTCCCCATATTAAAGCAGCGCATTCATAAAAAAATATATCTGTAAGATGGTTCCCCCATAGCACCGCATTCTACCCCCCTTGTTCCCTGCAACTGTAACACTCTTCGTAAATTTATGAGAAAAATTGCTAGCGGGCTGTTAACTTAGCTATTTCAATGCTAAATTCTATGCTAATTCCTTTGTCAAGGGGTGCCTCTGCGGATGTGTATGCTTTAACTTTAACATAGCCATTTCTGTGACCAGTCACAAGCTGATCACTCAGCCATTTCAATGCTAAATTCTATGCTAATTCCTTTGTCAAGGCGCTTTGTTTCCTCTCACACAGCTTAAAGGTCGCGATCTGAGCGTGGCTTTTTCACTCCAGGGCTGTCCTCCAGACAGTCTCGTCCCTTCACCTGATGAAGGCCGCTTGTGTTGTGGCCGAAACGTCGTGAGAATATTATTGTTATTTTATTTTATCAATTTATTATTTTATTTTCATTCTACGTGACTTTACCGAAATAACCAAAGAAGAAAAAAACAAGAGTAGTTATACGTGCATCACTTCATTTCTAGACAGCGAAGGCACAATTGTGACCATTGGATCGGTCCTCCCATCACGCCCTGCACGTTCACGTGACACCCCGACACACTGCGTCGTACACTGTGTGGACACCCCTGCACACTGCCGCCACGGTTAGACCACCGTCATAAAAAAAAGTTAAAACCACGGCTGTGTTTTATTTTATTTATATATATCTATATATAATGCCGCTTTCATCCCTGTCAGGAACTGACGTAGAATAATAGGCCCCCGTGCTGCCTTGTGCCTCAAGGACTTTGCTTGGACAAAGCCTGTCTGATCAACACTGGGGACAACGGGCAGCAGTGGTCGCTGTTCAAATGAAGAGCACAATGTGAAAACTCCACATGTCTATGTTGGGGATGAGTGCACCCACAGTGCAGTTACTGTTGACTTACGTTTAAAAATATATATTTAAATTCTTCCTTTTTAAAAGTATATATGTTGTTTCCCTCTTAACTGCGATTCTTAAATATGTCATTGTTAGTATTAATGTTACGTCAGAAACACTGAAGTCGGTGCTCTCCAGTTGCCTGGGTGCAAAGTGGGCCAAGTTTAGCCTAATCTTGGCCAGCTGACTCGTAAACCTAAGAAAGAAATAAACCTCCCGCAAATTTTATCTCAATTTTTTCGTCCCCGGAAAGAAGACGGGCTGAGTCGACCCCCCCCCCCCCCCCCCCCCAAACTCGCATGAGAATCCAAAACCTTCTGACAGTGCACCAGCTTTGCCCCCCTTTTACGGAAGCACCCCGACAGAGTCTCTCCATTCGGTTACACGAACGAAGCCCCTGCACAAAAGCGACCGTTAGTATCACCTGGTCCAGGGCATCTACGAAGATGACTAACGGCAGCTCCCCTTCGCCAGCAGCCTCCAGGATCTCCTGCAGCGGCTGGGAGCATGCCTCTTCGTCCGTGCAGTTTTCCAGGGTCTCCAACAACGTCTCTGTGGTTACAGGGACATAAAAGAGATTGTCCTTGGACTGGGCCACCTTGGCAACAGGGCAACTGCCCAGTTCAGCTGGTCCTGAAAGTTGAGCTGTCTCGTGAAGCCGCTCGACCGACATCAAAATAAGCCTCTGGCTGAATGAAGTTACTCATTATGGTTCACATTTGTTGACCCATAGAAGCCTGACCGAGTCTCGGTATTCTTCTCAGGAGGGTCCTGCCAGTTTCACACTGGGGGTGGGCAAACGTCGCTGTGTGTTACTTCCCAATCAAGTGACTTGCGGATAAATGTTGTTTTTCCTTCAACTTTGAAACATGACGGCGGCACACGCACACACACAACCTTCTCCTTTTCGGATGACATCGCGGCGGGGATCTTTTAACGGCCACTGTGAAGCGGGCGGCGTGTATTCCACGGTTATACACCCGCAGTATTAACCAGGGCAACCGTGGGGTTCGAACCGCAAAAACCGTCCGCAGGCAGCGACAGACGCGGCACCGCTCGGCCGCGTCACCGCACGCCACAGCTCGTTGTACTTCTTATCTTCCCCTCTACCAGATGCTACACAACAGACACCAACCTCCAAGGTCCACTCTCAAAGTATCCGACTGTCTTCGAAGTGCACGGTTGGCTACGTAAGGTGTAAAAGAAGTTCAACATACTGTACATACATCTCGAGAGTAAATTATGAATGGTAATTTACAGCCAATTGTCAAACAACTACTGGAAGAAGGCCTGCCCGCGCCATGTCAGTTGTTTTGACTATACTTCACCACGCTGATTGAGAGTAGATTGGAAAATCAGGGGAGCCCAAGATTGGCCCAGATGTATGTATGTTGAACTTCTTTTGTTCCGTACGTAGCCAATTGTGCTAATCGGAGGTGCGGGGAAGGACAACAACATTAGTAGTCCCTGAGAATCGAACTCAAGTTGCCAGAGCACAGTTAATTATTCACATTACTATCAAATATTACGTGCTAGTATTAAATTATTTCAGCTGCACAATTTAGCAAAGGGGTGGGAGAGCACGGGAAGTGGAGTAGGGTGAGATGAGAGGGGAGTGGTAGGAGAGTGCGTGGAAGGGAGTACAGCGAAATGAGAGGAGGGAGCTTGGAGAGAGCGAGGAGGGGAGTAGAGCGAGATGATAGTGGAAGAGTGTGTGTGTAGATATTTTTATGGGGCACAGGTGTTGCAGCTGCCAGTTATCTCAGTCACTCAACCCATGGCACCGGGGTCAGTCCCGTGACCTCCTGCCAGCGGGCGTTCGGCACTTCACGTGGCCTTAAAGTGCACATAGCCTGGCACAAGCGCCGTGGTGACGTCACCGCCACTTCGTGGCAAACGGCAGTTATTGTTGTTGGAGGAGGAGAGAGAGATGATAGAGAAGAGGTAGGCAGGTGCAAGTCCAAATGAAACGTCCGTGATCCACCAGCCCTATCTGCAAAGTAATGGATACAGTATATAAAAGGACAGAAAATGCAGCGCGATTGGTTGAATATTGTTGTGTGTAGTAACCTGGGCGCTGGCGTACCTTTCGAAGGGGGGTTCACGTGGCAACAGAGACGCTTAAGTAAGTTGATCAGTTCTGTGGAGCTTGGACAGCAGCCAATGAAGTGGTAGAACACCGAGAGGCGTGGCATCTTTGGGGAACAAAACGCACAGCACAAGACAGCCGTAGAACGATGGCGCGCGCACGCAGCCCGATCACTGTTACACGATTACGCATTTTGTCAACCCGCAGCTTCACAAGGTCTTCTCCAACAGCGCAGCCACAGCAGCCTACAACAGCTGCTGCCTGCGTGGGGGAGCCGATCAGCAACACGCCGAGGTTGGCGAGCCGGTGGACAGCGTGGCGCACGCACGACTGGGGTTTATACTCTACGCTCTTCAGAGCAGGGACCTACTGCTCTCCCAGCCTGGGCTCTTGCGCTCGACGCTGGAGGGTCGGGCCTTCTCAAGTGTTGCCCTAAGGATCTGCAACGCCTTGCCGGCGGTGACCCGGCACGCTCAGAGCCTCCGTGTGTGTTCAGGAGGGAGTCTATGACTCACTATTTTCTTATGGCTTTTATTTCAACATTATTATTTCAGTGTCCTTGCATTTGATTTCAGTCTACAATGTTTTGATACCCCCTTGAGTGGAGGTGATATTACGGTTTACGTTTTATGTGACCCTGCGCTGCCCAGGATTGTTGATGCTCACGGCTTTTTGGGGAGTAGCTGGGTTGGCGCGAATACCTTTAATGTCGCTGCCACGCATCTCGCCATGAGCGATGACTTCCCCATGCCTGGCTCGGCCTGAACGAGTAGCGGGACACCAGGCACCGGCGGTAATTCCTCGTCGGAGTCCGGTGCTTCGGCTTCTGAAAGGGAGACGAAACCCGTGTGCAGATTGCCGCAATAATTGAAAGTTATTAAAACGCTTTAATTTACCGGGTAAGGCCACCACTGAGCTCTTGTAGCTGTTTTTCAGAAGCGACCTGGCTATCACAAATGATCACTCAACGAGGTAGCTTACCACGTGGAAATGTATAGCAGCCAAACACTATAAACTCACGTTGATTCTAAATGTAGACGTAAAAAGCGGAGAAACTCGGAGAAAAATCCACATGACCACGGGGAGAACATGCAAATTCCAAATATTTAGGCGTCAGGGTCGGGATCGAACCCATGACCTCTTGCATACCAGGCTAGGTAGTTAACATCTCGCGACGGTGCCTACCTTTGCCAAATAACACATCTGGCAAGGCAGGCAGGTGCACGGCCCAATTGTCAATCCACTGCTGGATGAGGATCTTCCCATATCAGCGCAGGTTGGTGCACGGCGGACGCAGGATCGAACCAGATATTACCAAGGACAGCTGGGAAATCCAAATTAGGTTGCCGAGTTTTGTCGTGTGACGTGCTAATGCCTGCACCGCGACAATCCTTACCAAGTCATACGCTGTCGTCAGGGGCGGAAAGTCGGTAATTGGGATAACCGGATATCCGGCTGCTGCAAATTGCTGCAGGCTGCCACCTTGTGCTGCCCTGCAGGCTACTTGAGCGGCAGCCTTTCAAACTTATGGAACTTATTAGCCACATCAGCGGCTCCGACCTATTAATAAACTCCGCGTTCAAATCCAATAAAATGTGTTTTATACATTTGTGGCGCCCGTTGGAAAACATAAACACTGGATATCTCAGAATATCCAAGTCAGCCCCCCCAAAGTCAAAATCCTAGCTCCGCCCCTGGCTGTCGTGGTAAAATAATCGCATTGTTGTAATTGAAGCCCACTCCAAGTAAACTTTGCCCGTGCATTTTTCCTGAGGGCTGTTCATAGTTGGCCGCGGTGCAAACAACACTAGGCAGATATCACGCTGGGCCATTCGATAGGCCAACTTGCTGCTCTGTTGGAGCCCCACGTCTGCGTCTTCCGCTGGCTGTATTCAACGCTCAAGCCTCATCCGCTGTCTTACTGCAGGGAAACCCGGCGGCTGCTCCAATTTCCGCTTCGTTTTGCTCGCCAGTGTTCTTGAAGTTTCACGCGCCTCACCTTGACTCGGAGGCCTGCAGATGTGGGACAGCATCTTCCGCATTTCTCGATCTCGACCTAAAACGAGCTCCCTTCGCGTTTCCAGGAAATCGCGGTGCTGCTCGTGTTCCGCTCGCTCCCTGCGGGTACAACAAAATAAAAATAAGCACCAGCGACAAGAAGCCCAAAAAAAATGTCCGGTGTTGACAGCACGTCGCTGGCACGTCAAAACCCTCATTACAGCTTAACGCCTTGTCACAACTGGAGAATGGGAAAGTCAAACTCGGTCGTTGTCTGATGCACCGGGTTTGTTATTGTAGTGCTTTTGTGGGGCTCCTGCATGGTGGAACAACCTAAATGGGTTCCCCTGGCGATGACACGTGATGTCAGGAACACAAGCAGGACGTGATGGCCCATTTCCCATCGCCGACAGCCCTGTAACATCCGCAGGGAGTTGGCAGTGTCCACCGTCTGCTGTAAATTGCGATGCAAGCCGATTCTGTTTTGAATCACCGTGAATTATCTTTCCCAACCCCTTTTGATGGTATTCGCGACCGTATGATGTCTATTCACTGCCTGTCATTCACCGACGAGTTATAACCAATTCTGATTCATCCCATCTCTGTTTCAAAGGGAACCTGTCAAACTGTAGTTACCAAGAAACGGTTGCTTGTTTATTTGCAGCTTACTTGCATTTTCCATTTGGATTTGAGTTTGACACCACAATGGCCTCCTGCTCTTGTGCGTTTCACAGCACACAGTATATCTCGTCGGTTTAGCACGTAGTAGGCTTTCGCGACCAATATTATCCATCATGGAGGGTTTTTTGGGATAGATCGTGTATATTTTAGATCCCATTAATAAACGAGATCTATCTTGTGCCATCTTCACACCTGAGATTTGAAGCCCGTGATCTTACTCAATCTTCAGCGTTTCTCTCACGGAGAGTCCCGTTCAACTGCTCACTTTGCCCCACCAACTGATTATTTTCCTTCCTCATCCCCTCCTTCCCTTCCGGGTTTCCCTCACAGAATCACCCGTGTGATGATCTGTGGCTGTGATCCTCTGAGGGGATGTGTCCCACCACATGCCATCTTCCTTCTCACAGGGCACTTTGGGAGTTCACCACAGTAACTACTGCATGGCTTTCAGGAATCAAACTTGCTGAGCATGTGCAAAGTTGGCCTAGTGATAAGCGTACCACCTGTTGGGATGTCCAAGGGACGCCACGGTGGCTAGGAGATGTTAACGACCTCGTCTGGTATACAGGTGGTCGTGGGTTCGATCTAGACCCTGACGTCTGCTGTATATTTGGAGTTTGCGTGTCTCTCTCCCTGTGGTTGCCATTAATTATTTCTCCAGGCTCGGGTTTTCACGCCACATTTAGCAACATCCGTTTAGAATATTTGGCTGCTATAAATTTCCACGAGATAAGCCACTTTGTTGAGCTATCATTTGTGGCCAGGTCGCTTCTGAAAAAGAGCTACACAGTAAAGTGGGCCTTACCTGGTCAAATAAAAACATTGTTTCTTTAGTTTAGTTGAAATTGCCTGATGTCTGTGAACCAAATGTACCACGATCCACATTTACGACGATCCACAGTCGTTGATAGTGTTTAAAGGAAAACACGGTTTCAAATGGGGGAGGGGGGGCACATTGGAAATACGTTTCTGTTGCCTCGAAGAGGCCTCACCAGGAGAGGCCCTCCGTGCCAGGCGTGCGGTCGGGGAATTGACGCTGAATGGCCTCCTGGAAGAAGCTGAGGACACCCACACTGAATTCCTCCAGGCCTGACACAAGAATCCGCTTGCACGAGAGAATGCACAGACGAGCACAAGGACATTTGCGGTGGCCAGGCAGGTGCTAACAGTTGCTCAACCTCTGTGGCCCTCGATATGTACGAGATGTTTTCAGCCACTGAATGAGTGTTTGTATGTGTGGGTGGAAACCGGAGCACACTGAAGAAACCCATATGGGTAGACACAGATGGAGAATAGTCTATGCGCTGTACGGCCATCACCTGACAGCCCAGGGTATGGCTCCTCCTCAATGCCCATAGGAAGGGACTTTCACAACGTTTGAATCTCGAGTGTCATCATTAATGTTTTTTGTTTACATAAAAAAGTCATGCCGTACGCACAACTTAATTAGCGCAGTGATAGTGCTCAGGTTGGGGTTATTTTTTCTTTCCTAAATATTTCTTACATTTCGATTTAAAGCTTTCGTGACTGCAAGGATTCATCTTCTTTGGTTCTTTCGGTAAAGTCACGTAGAATGAGAATACAATTATTTTTATTATTTTATTCTCATTTTACGTGACTTTACCGAAAGAACCAAAGAAGATTTCTAACATTTTTACGAATATTTATCGCAGGCAGCCTTCCGGCTTACCCCGCATTCCGGCTTACAGTGAGCCCGGCGTGCGACGCTATCGCTCGCAACAGGCGAGCCTCCCTCACCTTGCCGGAGTCGGTGCCGGAGTCGGTGCCGGAGTCGTCGCCGGCGTAGCGGCAGTCGTACTCCCGCGCCTGCCCCGACGGCGCGAAACACTCGAGCACGGCGGCGCGCACGCCAGCGACGTGCGCAGCACGCCGGGCCTCCGTCTCCGCGAAGTCGGCCCGCGCCCACTCCGGCAGGCTGCCTGCACGCGCCGAGCGCAGCGCGCAACAAAAACCAGAGCCGCGTGGAAGCGAAGGAGCCAACCGTGGGCATGGACTCCACCAGAACCGTCAGGAAAATGCGTCCGTGATGTATTGTTGTTTATACTGTATGCCGCAATACAGCTCAGTTTGTACACTGCATATTAGAAGCCTCCCGTATTGTGAAAGCATGAGTTCATATATGCATGTATGCATGTATGTTGAAGTTCTTTCACCCCGTACGTAGCCAGCCATGCTATGCGCGGGAAGGACAACAAACTAAACACAAAAAGCAGTTCTAAAGAAATTAGTTTTCAAGGTGTTCATTCCTGGTTGGGGGTTGACTCAACTCATCATTCCTAAGGGGATGATAAAATAGGTACCACTTTACTCTTTGGTTCTATTCGGTAAAGTCACGTAGGTAAAAAATAAAACAACAAAAATCACGACGTTTCGGCCACAACACAAGTGGCCTTCATCAGGTGAAGGGATCAGGCTGTCTCGAAGACGGCGCTGGAGTGAAACACAGCCACGCTCAGACCGCGACCTTTAAGCTGTGTGCGAGGAAACAAGGTGCCTTGACAAAGGAATTAGCATAAAAATTAGCATTTGATTAGCCGACTTAGCATGATGAACGGTGTAGAGGTGGTGTACATGCGGGTGAACATGCCGGTTGGTGCGGGGGGGAGGGGGAGTTTACCTATTGATGGTGTGAAAAGGGAATTTTTAAGAGCTGCGAAAGTTTGGGGTACCACTACCTGAACCATTGAAAATTAGTTTAATGTTTGGTTCGATTTAGAACATCTTTCCAATGGTTGCTTAATTTGAAACCATCTTCTCGGTTGAAATTGTGTCTGTGTTTGTAGATCTGAATTGCCTCGTGAACAAATCTCTGATAAAAACCCGTGGGTTTGCAAAGAACCTTGGTATCGGAGAAAATTATATCGTGATCACCCACAGCGTTGTAACAGTGATCAGCTACGGCAGAAGAATTCGTTCTGCCGTGTTTCAAATCTGATTTGTGCTCGCGAATTCGGTCAGAGACATGTCGCTTTGTCTCCCGATATAGCAATCACCGCAGGTACAACTAAATTTGTAAACCCCGGGGTACTGTAAGTCAGGAATGACATCCTTCACGGATGGGATCAGATCACGAATTTTGTGTACTGTATTGAACCGGACCTGGATCTTGTGTTTGTTTAGAATTTTGGAAATCTTTTTAGTAACGCCTGCTATATATGGTAGTGTGATGGTTTTGACCAGAGTATCAAGTGGTTGTTTCTGTATGGAGGGAGAAACAGCTTGGCGGATGGTACGGTCAGAGTATCCATTCCTTTTGAGGGCCAGGTGTACATGTTTTAATTCACTGGTCAGGTGGTGTTGGTCCGAAATGTAATGAGCCCTATGGTATAAAGTTTTGATGAGAGAATTATTTTGGGCTGGGTGGTGGTGGGAATCAGGTTTCAAGTAGGAATCTGTGTGGGTGGGTTTCCTGTAGACAGAATGCCCCAATGAGCCATCAGTCAACAGTGGTTATCCTACAGATACGCTCTCCTGGCCATAATAATGTGGAGGCGAGGACCACACAGAGATGTTGTGAACTCCTTTCCCACGGACGTCGAGGTGCCATACCCTGGCTCGCCAGGAGAGGTCAGTAAGGAGAAAGGTGTGCTGCCCCCTCGTGTTTTCACCGGGTGCTGCGAGTTTCCTCCCACGTGTACAAACATTCATTAATTGGCTGAAAAACATCTTTTAAAAAAACTCAATGTAGCAGTAGCAGGACCCTCCTGTGCAAAATTCGTACGACTCAGTGTGGCTCTCCGGGATAAATAATCTTTTTTTTAATGCAAACTCCTAATGCTCATGTTAGCATGAAATCGCTTTGACTCACCAGCCAACAAAGATGAAAACCATCTCTTGGCTGAGAAGCAGGAAGCAGGCCCGTGCCTGTAGGCACATACAGTGAGGGAAAAAAGTATTTGATCCCCTGCTGATATTGTATGTTTGCCCACTGACAAAGAAATTATCAGTCTATAATTTTAATGGTAGGTTTATTTGAACAGTGAGAGAGAATAACAACAACAAAATCCAGAAAAACGCATGTCAAAAATGTTATAAATTGATTTGCATTTTAATGAGGGAAATAAGTATTTGACCCCTCTGCAAAACATGATTTAGTACTTGGTGGCAAAACCCTTGTTGGCAATCAGAGGTCAGACGTTTCTTGTAGTTGGCCACCAGTTTTGCACACATCTCAGGAGGGATTTTGTCCCACTCCTTTTTGCAGATCTTCTCCAAGTCATTAAGGTTTCGAGGCTGACGTTTGGCAACTCGAACCTTCAGCTCCCTCCACAGATTTTCTATGGGATTAAGGTCTGGAGACTGGCTAGGCCACTCCAGGACCTTAATGTGCTTCTACTTGAGCCACTCCTTTTTTGCCTTGGCCATGTGTTTTGGGTCATTGTCATGCTGGAATACCCATCCACGACCCATTTTCAATGCCCTGGCTGAGGGAAGGAGGTTCTCACCCAAGATTTGACGGTACATGGCCCCGTCCATCGTCCCTTTGATGCGGTGAAGTTGTCCTGTCCCCTTAGCAGAAAAACACCCCCAAAGCATAATGTTTCCACCTCCATGTTTGACGGTGGGGATGGTATTCTTGGGGTCATAGGCAGCATTCCTCCTCATCCAAACACGGCGAGTTGAGTTGATGCCAAAGAGCTCCATTTTGGTCTCATCTGACCACAACACTTTCACCCAGCTGTCCTCTGAATCATTCAGATGTTCAATGGCAAACTTCAGACGGACATGTATATGTGCTTTCTTGAGCAGGGGGACCTTGCAGGCGCTGCAGAATTTCAGTCCTTCACGGCATAGTGTGTTACCAATTGTTTTATTTGTGACTATGATCCCAGCTGCCTTGAGATCATTGACAAGATCCTCCCGTGTAGTTCTGGGCTGATTCCTCACCGTTCTCATGATCATTGCAACTCCACGAGGTGAGATCTTGCATGGAGCCCCAGGCCGAGGGAGATTGACAGTTATTTTGTGTTCCTTCCATTTGCGAATAATCGCACCAACTGTTGTCACCTTCTCACCAAGCTGCTTGGCAATGGTCTTGTAGCCCATTCCAGCCTTGTGTAGGTCTACAATCTTGTCCCTGACATCCTTGGAGAGCTCTTTGGTCTTGGCCATGGTGGAGAGTTTGGAATCTGATTGATTGATTGATTGCTTCTGTGGACAGGTGTCTTTTATACAGGTAATAAGCTGAGATTAGGAACACTCCCTTTAAGAGTGTGCTACTAATCTCAACTCGTTACCTGTATAAAAGACACCTGGGAGCCAGAAATCTTTCTGATTGAGAGGGGGTCAAATACTTCTTTCCCTCACTAAAATGCAAATAAATTGATAACATTTTTGACATACGTTTTTCTGGATTTTTTTTGTTGTTATTCTGTCTCTCACTGTTCAAATAAACCTACCATTAAAATTCTACACTGATCATTTCTTTGTCAGTGGGCAAACGGACAAAATCAGCAGGGGATCAAATACTTTTTCCCTCACTGTATGAGGCTTTGGCACAAGCCACTGCAACACAATGAACGCCGATGCTTGAACGACGGTGCATCTCTGCTCCAAACACTCGAGTGGCGTCTCTCAATGTTGTGCAGTTCCGGAGATCGGTACGATTGCGATCGCACGCGACAGTCAATTTGAAAGGCGTGCAGCCGGGTTTCTCTGCGTCTCTCTCTCTATCCTGACATTGAAATTATACGAAAAAAACAAAACAGAATTTACGCGTGCAGGTCACGACCTTGTATACAGTCCCTGCAATCGCGTGAGCCCCCCCTTACCCGTGAGGTTGCTGCGGCGTACGTAGAAGACGGCGTTCGGGTTGCGGCTCCGGTAGGCGCCGTGCGCTATCTCCATGGCTGTGACGGAGAAGCCTGGCACCCAGGCGTACCGGGAGGCCATCTCCTCCGGCACCCTCCTCCGGCGAGGGGATCCACCCGCACCTGGGCGCAAACGCCGTCGAGCAATCAACGCCGTCGGCCAGGCGAGAGTTCACTAACGTGGCCGCAGCGGCGGCTTGAAGAGGTTTTTCGCGGCTCGAGCCTGCCGGCCACCCTGGTTAATAACGCGCAGCTCCGCAATTTCTTGCTCGTGCCACCGCACGGTTTTACTACGTACGGTGCGAGCGAAGTCCGACGACACACGTACGAAGGGCCTCCGCCAGAGGGAGGCCCTCAAGAGGTTTTTGTTATGCCTCGGGGGGTGGCAAAAAAACGAGCGCGTGCCGCGGCGCCTCTCTCTCCGTGCGCCCCACCGATGCCCGACGAGCCCCAGGAAGAATGGGCGGCCCAGCGTGTCGCCGTGGCAGCGGTCGAGCTCCCCGAGGCACGTCTGGAGCACGCTCGCCGAGCTGGAGCGGCGGGACGCCCCAGCGCAGGTCGCACTCGCAGAGGCGCAAGCGGCGACTCTCGCACCACTCGCGCAGGCACGGGAACACCTGCGAGGGGGAGGGTCGCGTCGCTGTCGGTGGTGCATTAATAGCATGCGGGAGGTTACCGATTCCCTCCTTCCCCCTGTATAGGGACTCCTTCCACTTACGAAAATTCGACTTACAAACTTTCAGAGATACGAGCAAAACATGTCCACGTATGTCCAGTTGCCTGTTCGGAACGAGAGTCGTGGGTTCAACCGCCCTGCAATAGATGGCGGCGGTGGCATCTACATCTGCAGAGCATGAAGAACCAGTGACATCTGCAGGAGATTACACAACTTTCAAAGCCATTGCCCGTGTTTAGTGTACACGCCGTACAACGTGTTTGTAATCGACAGTTGGACTTACGAACACATCGACTTACGAACACAGACCTCTGGAAGACAACTCGTTCGCAAGTAGAGAAGTCCCTGTGTAAGCTGTCACTTCTCTGCTAGAGCACAGTTGGCTACGTACGGTGCAAAAGAAGTTCAACACGCACAGCACAGAGGTCCCCACCTGGGTGGGACAGCGAGCCCAGTACGCGCCACTTCACCAAGCCCTTGCCACGGCACCGATCTCGGGCTTTGGCTTGAGCTGTATATTTGGAGTTTGTGAGTCGCTCTCCCCCGCGATCGTGTGGATTTTTCTCCGGGTCCTCTGGTTTTTCCCTCCACATTTAGAAACGTGCTTTTAGATTATTTGGCTGCAAAACATTTCCACATGATAGGACACTCTGTTGCACTATAATTTGTGGCCAGGTCACTTCTAAAAAAGAGCTGTAGAGCTCAGGTAAAATTTAAATAAAATTAGATTAGTTTATCGGGCCCCTCTGTCAGTGTTTCTTCACCGTTCGCTCTTGACAGCAACAACAGCAATGGATATGAACACCAACCCATCGATTAGCACGGTTGGCTACGTACGGTGCGAAAGAAGTGCAACATACACACATTCAGTTCGACACGTAGGCTTTCTTGACCAATATTATTCATAATAAAGGTATTTTGACAATTCTGGAAAAATCCCCCGATGATGCTAGATGCAATTACCTGGCGAAAGGTCAAGGTACTCAAATTGTAATTGTTGTCGATTGATTCTCCAACACACCGGTGGGCTGAAGTAGTTACTAATTGGCACGTTTTGTTTACGTGATAAACATTACCGGTTGGCTGTGTCGGGTGGTGGCAGATTTTTTAACGATGCATTTATACTTACGCGATGTAACCCAAAAAACCTTCATAATGATACACACATTCATCGGCTATTTGGGACGGGGGAGTCGCCTCGACCCTTGGGGGGGTGGGAGGGGGGTGGTCTCCCTTCCAACCCATCTCGGGGAACCAGACCCACACCGCGTCACCTGCTTCACGAGGGCCTCCCGCTCGGCGTGAAAGTCGGCAAAGGTGGACGACACGAAGACTCGCACGATCCTCCATCCTCCCACCTCCTGGACGCCATCGCTCCCCTGCACGTGCCGAGCGGCCTGGCTCTCTCGCTGCCACAGGGCCCTGTAATTCTGTCACACGGCAAAGCCGTCGCCTTTCAGCTGCAATTCATTGCTCGACTGCCCTGAAAATAAACGTTTACTCGGCGGTTAATTTCGCCGCGTCATATGTTTTGCTGCAAAGATATTGAATGCAGCACCGTAAACTAAACGTCTGAAAAACAACAAGAGCAATAAAATATCAAGAAACTGCGCAGAGTAACAGCAGTTACATGAAATATTTATCAGTGGGAAAAATCTGGCATGGCATCTTCAGATCGGCTTGCATATTGAATTTCTTCCGCGCCGTACGTTGCCAACCGTCCTAATCGGAGGGTGCGGTAGGAGGAGGTTGTGGTTTGGATACAGCTTCTAACGCAACGGTGGGCGATGGCATTTAAAACGAAAAGTGCGACGTGGGATCGGGAGAATTTTCCAGGCGACTCTGCACGCCCGCGTTGGCCTGTTAATGAGCACCCAAAAGGAAGGAGTCACGGGTCTGGAACGGCTCTCCGCTCTGTCGTCATTGTTTTACGTGAAGCTCTTCACGTGTCTTGATGTCCATCTGCAGACGAGTCTCTTGCGATTGTCTGCGCCAATTATATCAATGCGAGCAAAACCACAATGCTTCGTGTATAGGACGTCAACACCCACACTTTACAACGAACACCTCCTAAACGTATTTGCTGTACTGCCCCCTAGAGCAGTGGTTCTGCTTCACCTGGGGTGCCAAATGCCCTGTCTGGAGGTGCGAGACGTGTCCATATATATTTTTTTTAATCAGGCAAATAATCGAAAACACAAATAAAGAACGGGCACGTAAGCTCCAACTCACTCTGTGTCATCAATCCCAACGTCTTTATTAACGCCGCAACATTTGTGTAACGATTGCGAACCAAAGGGGTTTGCAAGGCTGCAGTAAATGTGAAGAAGAAGCCGAGAGGCAAATTCTCGCCTTCGTATCGCGAGTGCCTCCATCTCAGCGCTAAAACAAAAACACATCTCGCGAACAGAGGCGCAGTCCCCTCCTCGCCGTGGAGGGCGTCTCGAGATGACCTCAAGACGCCGCGCCTCCCCATTAGCACGGCCGGCTACGTGCTGTGCGAAAGAAGTTCAACGATCGCGGAGGCCATGCGGGGGGGGGGCAGGGGGGGGGCAGGGGGGATGCCTTGCCCCCCCCAAACCCCACGGCGGACAAAGCTACGAGTCGGGGCCACTCCCTTGACAACCAGCACGAGATATGGTTTCAACAACAGCGGAAAAGAACGACGCTTATTTAAAACGGAGCGCGCCCTACGGCGTTCCATGTTCGAGACGTTGAGGAGCGTAACGACGGTGCGATGAGGGCAAGAGGAGGAGGCGATGATGGAGGATGATCGCCTTCAAAGTGCGACCGCGCCACACGAAATCAAACATTTGGGGCCCCAACGGGCCGACTTTTCCGCACCCCCCCCCCCACCTGCGCTGATGCTAAATGACGTCACGCGATTTTTTACCCCACCCCCCTCGTCACACGGCGTCACAAAAAGTCAGACCCCCCCGCCTCAAATATGACGTCACAAAGCTCTGACCCCCCTCCCCCTCCCAAAAAAATATATAACATGCTTCAAATCGCTTTAAACTATTGTTATTGTAGTGCGTATTTAATGTGGCGCTGCACTCTGATGTTGTAGGAGAAAACATTTATTAAAGTCTATTTAATTAAGTAGAACGTGTTGTCTATATTTATTTAAAGTTGCGCATTTTGATGTGACGTCACATTTCTCACCCCCCCCCCCCATCGTCACACATCGTCACAAATGTCTGACCCCCCCTAGGTGCGTGACGTCATTTATGGACGGCCCCTAAGCCACTGAGTTGAACATACAAACTCCATACAGCACATGCATGGCCATGCAGAACGCAAATCCTCTCTCTCTCTCCCTGCGCGGTGTCACCACAAACACCGCGCGCGCCTCCAGCACGAGTGTGGCGGCTGCCCTCGCAATATCGATCACCTCGTAATAACA